TTTCTGTGAGTTTAGTCAGCCTAAGGTCACAGAGCAGAGTGGAATTTGGACCCACTCAGTCCACCTCCAGAGCTTGCTCCTAAAACCACTTTGCCCCCTCTTCTCTGCCAGGTTTCAGCATCTGAGAGTACGCGGCACTGTTTTAGACTTTCTATAATCTTCCAGTTAGGTTTTCCTGTCCCTGATTTTAGATGAGGCTCATAAGCTGAACAACTTACCCGGGGTCACCCCGTTGGCTCTTCCCAGCTCACCTTACCCAGCTCAGGTATCCAAACAATTCCACCTACATGCTAATCACCTACCATGTGCTTTCTATGTTGCTGACATTGGGGGCTCACATGCAATGCTCCCCATGGCTACCTCGTAAGGCCTTCCCTCTCCAAGGGAATGTAGAACTGGGGTTACCTGGTGTCCCTGCCCTCTGTGCATTAGCTACCAGGAAAATATGGAGTAATAGTGTTTGTGACTTGAAGGCAGCATCCCACAGGGGCCAGGTGGGTGAAGACCAGATGAAGTGATGGAGTCTGGGCCCCGCTGCTCCCCTTGCTGAGAATGTGGACAGTGGGGCATTATCAGCTATTCTGAAATTTGGATACCCTCTCCCATGGGTGTTGATTCTTGGCCTTTTCAACAACTGTAAATTCAGCCCATGCCAACTTCCTACAAAGGAAGAGCTGGCTTTTGGGTGCACACTGCTTTCAAGACTGGAGAGGTACACCACAGACAAGCTGTGTGCCTCTAGGCTCCCACTTCCAGCCAGGCCAGATCCATCCAGCCCCTGCTGGAGACCACGTAGGGACATGGAAGGGGATGCTGTGGCACAGATCTGCCAGAGCAGCTGACTGGGGCCTGTTTCCCCTGAGCCGCAGAACTCTCCAGAAACCCCCGGTCTTGGATAAGTATCCAGGCCTAGCCTCTTGAGGAGGCCATACCTCCTGGCCTCCTGTCTGACCAGCACAGATCTGTGGTAATAGTAGCAGCTCAGCATGTGTAACATACAGCCAGGGCCAGATCAGGATCTATTGTCTCACAGCTACTGACTGGTTCTTGTGAAAATTGTCGTGTGTGACCCTTAGAATAACGTCTGAGGTAAAGGTGACTGTCCCTGTTCTATAGGTGAGGAGTCAGCAAACTCCATTTGCTCAAGGTCATGCTTGTGTGCGGCTGGGCCAGTGAGGACTAAAAAAAAACCCAGACTGCCAGCTCCCAAGGATGTCCCACTCACAAGGATGTCCTGGGGCTCCTGGAGGACACTGCAACTACTTTAGCTCTGCTACTTCCCGGACCCCTCAGTAGGGTGGAAGGAGAGGGCAGAGTGGTCTGGACATAAGCCAACCACAGTGAGGAGCCATGTGTCCTGGGTCCCAAGGGACAGGCTCCTGGAGAAAGAGTCACTCATAGCTATTCCTCCCTGCTGCCTGCTGAGGACACTGTCCCTTAAGGGCCCCCAAAAGACTAGACACACCCTCTCTGTGAAAGAGGGTGATCCTACTGCCTCTGATCCTACTGCCTCTCCAAAGCAGGGTCCAGAACCCTGGCTGTCCCCTCACATGCACTTCTGGAAGGAGCACACTCTGTCGGGGCAGAGCTGGACGTTGACTGTGTGGCATCAGGTAGCGGTTGGCTCTCTGGGTCTCCGGGTTCTCAGCATAGAAACACGGATGCAGCCTGGGGTGCCCTGTTGGAGTGATACCCTCCTCCCACCCCCAAGCAGCTCTCACGGGAGGACCCTCCCTCCCAGCACTGCCACAGCCCAGATTCCCATTACCTAGAACCAGACTTGGGTGTGTGTCTAGACTCCGCTGGAATTTTACAGCAGTCTTAGGAATCGCCTAGCCACCCCCAAGCCATTAATATTTAGCTGGTCCACATTCTGGAAACCCTCCCTCCCTTCTCTCAGAAGTGTATGTGGCATGGGGATTTTCCAGGGCCCCAGTGAGGTCTGGCTGTAGGTGACTTGGCCTTGGGAAGCCCTTGTCCGATCAGGTATCTTCCCAGGGCATCCCCTGTGGGGATGATCTTTTTATTATGGATAAGTCCCTCCTTTTCCTCTACAGCTTTATCTAAAAAACAGTAAAGAAGAAACTGGCTCAGCAGCACCCATCTTAGGCCTAGTGCTACCCCTTCCCCTCCCTCCCACCCCCCATGCCGCCCTTCTCCAGAGTGCCCGGGCAGGATGGGAGCTGGGCCCACACCAGAGCCTCAGGGTGGAGTACATGTGACAGGGCCACTGTGGTCAGATGCCAAACAGCACTGCCCCCACCAACCAAGGTATAGTTGCTTTTCTTCTAAGTGGTTCTGTATTATTTTAATTTAGGGGGAAACTATTAGAAATGGTTTTGAAGTTATGATTAAAACTTCCACTTGCCTTAGGCAAACAACTGGGGGTTGAATGAAAAGGTGTTAATGTAGGAAGCAGCTAATTTTAAAACAGAAAGCCTGGCTCGTTGGAGGGAAATAGGGAGATTAGTGAGAGGGTGGGTGAGGGGCCTGCCTGCAGGTCTCAGCAGGGCCTTCTGGAGGTGGGAAGTTCCCAGGCAGCCCCCTCCCACTCAGAGCCTCATCGTCCCCAAGCATCGGAGAAGATGAATCTTTAATGTTTGTCTGAATGCTGCCTCGCAGAGCTTCCCGTGAGGGGTGAATAGGTGTGCATGCATGAGAGTAACAGGATGTTTTGGCAAGTGTGGAGGGCCAGGTGGATATGAAAGCGAGAATATGCCTAAGGATGTGATGGTCTTATTGGGGAGAGGGGGGCTGACCCTTCTGCTGCCCACCTGAGACAGGCTGCTCAAGGCCACTTGTTTCCACTTTGGTCAGAGCCTGTGTGATTTGCCAGGAGTGTGGGTTTGTTGGGGGACAGCTGGTGAGAAGAGCCTGTGGTCCCTACCTGCACACGTGAGTTGGTCGTCTTGGGATATTTTGTCTGGCAGAAACTCAGCCTCCTTGTCTCGGGGTTCAGTGAGGCGAATGTGAGTTGGCTAGCAGCCAAGTCAGACACCTGAGGAGCGCTTGGCAGGCCCCACTCTGGACTTTGCTGACATGGTGTCATGGGCCCTAGGGAGTCCCAGCTCAGTCCTAGTCCAGCTTCTAGTTCCTGTGGAGCCCTAGGCAAGTCATTTCACCTACAAAGAGGGGAAAAGAGACCCAGCTCAGGCCTGTGAAGATCAGAACAAATGTCTGCTTGCGCAGTGGGTGAGACCTTGTGTCAGGGCCAGGGCTGGGGTGCTGGCAATGCCTGCTTTGCGCTGGGTCGGTAAAACACTTGCTGTGGAAGGAACAGAATGCAAGCATTGCCCCACTGAGCCACTACTCTCTGGGTGCTAACCCCGAGTTTCCTGCTGGAACTCAGAAGTGGGCAGCATTTGGTGGGGTTCCCAGGCTTCATAACTGGTGACAAGACCAGTGATGTGTGCTCTCCTCATCATCACGATGGGGTTTGAAATCCCAGGAAGTGTGGCTGGCAGCAATGACAACTGGAAGCAAGCGTGTGGTGGCCAGAGACAGGTGGTGCTTCTCTCTGGGCCTCGGTGTCCTCATTAGTAAAACGGGCATAAGAAGTGCTGTCCCTGAAGAGTCATCATGAAGCCCACATGAGATCATGCATCAGCTCCCAGCTGGCTGTCCGGAGCTTGGTGGCTGTTTAATAAATGCTGGTTTCCCTTTATTTCTACCACGGTGCATCTTTGGGCTTGCAGACAAAGTTTTCTCAGGATACAAGAACTGATTGGGAGCCACATGGGGTTGGATTGGTGACATCCAAGGGCTGTGTGAACACTAGGGGTGATTTTAATTACATAGCTCCTCTACCTTCACAGTCGGGGGCCTGCCTGCCTGATGTGAATTTTATTGGTCCAGCTGGTGCTTGGGCTGCGGGTGGCACAGGCAGGAGGAGCAAGCTCACCAATTGCCATCTCTTCTTAGCCCAAGGGTGTCCTGGTGGGACAGATCCCCCAGGAGGGCTACTTGCTCACTGGCAGCAGCAGCAACAGGTGGCGGGCACTCCCACACCTGATGCTCACCTCTGCTCAAATGTCCCCGAGTCTGCTCTTGTCTGGGACGCTAGAGGCATTCACAACCTTGTGGCTGTTACCTTTCCTGTAGTCTTGGTGTGTCTGCCGACCCTCTCCCAAGAGTGCGCCCCGAAGCCTTGGGGATAGGTCAACATCAAGGGGTGCCAGTGGAAGCAGTGCCATGCAGAAGGTACCTGCCTTCTCAGGGGCACACCAAGAAATGGTTTGCAGAGAGCTGCCTGTCAAATGAGGATATGCGTGGGCTAAAAGCAAGGGCTCATTTCCTATAAGGTGGTTTTAGAAAAAAGGGCCAGGCACATCTTGATTCCACACTTACACTGTGCTGTGCTGTGTGCCAGGCAACGGTGGGCAACTCTGACCCAAAGCTCAGAATGGAAGTTTCTGGTGGTCTTGCTCCCATGTGGCCAGGCAGGGTCAAAGTAGACCATCCCCACGGGACCCACATCTCGTGGCCAGGATTTATTCACTAAGCCCTTAATGTGACACAATGACCTGGTAAGATTCCGCCACGCCCCGTGGCGTGAGATTCAGAGCAGTCCCTCTATTTGTCCAGAGTCGTGGCCAGTGGATCCCATGTGTCCCAGTGGATCCCCACACTGTGCTTCATCAAATGCACCTAGGCCAGGGTCATTGTTCTTGGTGACATTCATTGTACCCTTTCCTCAGTCATGAAGAAGCTGTGGCCTAGTCACTTGGTGTCCTGTGCAGACTGTGACAGGGACCCAACAAACTGCCTGGGTGCACTGTGGCCTTCTCCACGGATCACTGTCTCTGCGGATTCTGGCTCCTCCCTGGGTCTCATGACAGCAGTGACCTGCCAGATGTTCTCATTCTTGGGATCTCAGGGTCTGGGTGTTCCCACAGCCCAGTCTCCACCGCCCCTGGCCCTGCTGGCATCATTGCCTGCTGAGGGATGCTAAGCCTTGCACAGTCAGCCTTGCTCATTCTGTCCCTCTCTTTCTTTCCCAGGGCAGCGAGGTGCCAGGTCCCACATTTGCTGATGGCGAGCTTGTCCCTGTCTTCTTTCCCGAGGATGAGGAGGAGGCTATGATGCTGGCCCCGCCTGAGGGCCCCTCAGAGTCAGACATGGACAGCCCCATGGAGAGCACCCAGAGCCTGGAGGGGTCAGTCGGGAGTCCCGCCGAGGAGAAGGATGGGGGGCTCGGGGGCCTATTTCTGCCAGAAGACAAGTGAGTTAAAACGGAAACTCCTTGACATGCAGCTCGGGAGACGCGCTCAGGGTCGCATCTCAGGCATTCGTCCCACGCATGTTCTCAGTATCAAAACCCTAACCTTAATATTTATCAGTACCCTAAATACTCATCAGTAGGGCTAGTTCTAGAATTTTAGGCAACACTGCAACATCATTTTAATTGACAGTTTAAGGACAGGGATAATATCTCAGGTTTTGTTTTTTTTTTTTAAAGATTTATTTATTTATACAAGCACTGGGTACAGTCAGAAGCACGGGAGGGTGAGAGAATTCACCAGAGCCAGAGCAGACTGATGAAATACACTGCTGAGAGGAGCAGCAGGTGTGGCAGGAGAGGTCTGTCGGTCCATGTGGGACCCGCCTGGTGGCCGGGGATGGAACCGGTGCTGCAGAGGCTGCAGGCACTTCGCGGCCCAGCGTTCAACTGCTGCGCCACCAGGGGAGGCCCTATCTAAGGTTTTTATTTGCCAGATCTTTTTCCTCTTTCATACAATAGTTTCAGAATGACACTACCAACTATATGAGAAGTAAAAATCATTCAAGAGCCTTTGCCCCATAGGTTTATAAATATTTTTTCTAATTCTAAAGGAAATACACACTCAACATAGAAGAACTGTAAAATAGAAAAATCACAATGAGCAAAAATTATTTATAATCCACAACCCTTATATTATCAATGTAAACATTTTAGAATATTTCTTTTTAAAAATAATGATCTCAGGGCCTCCCCGGTGGTGCAGCGGTTGAGCGCTGGGTTGCGAGGCTGCCCGCGGCCTCTGCGGCGCCGGTTCGATCCCTGGCTGCTCCCCGGCCACCAGAGGAGGGTCCCACATGGCGCGCAGACCTCTCCTGCCACCCGCTGCTCCCCTCAGCAGTGTACTTTGGTCCTTCTGCCTGCTCTGCTCCCTGCTCTGGCTCTGGTGAATTCTCTCACCCTCCCGCGCTTCTGACTGTACCCAGTGCATGTATAAACAAACAAACAAACAAACAAAACAAATAAATAAATAAATAAAACATGCCTCTATAAAAAAAAAAAAAAAAACATTAAAAAAAAAAATAATGATCTCAGTTTTTAAAAAGCAGTTTACATAGATGTCCATGGAGTATGATCTTAGTTTTGTTAAGGAAATCTACAGATTAGAGGATACCTAGAAAAAATTATTCCAGGGAATTAATTCTTCCTGCATGGTGGGATTATTGCTTATTTTAATTACTTCCCACCTTCTCTGCTGTGTATTCTATATTTTCTTTATAAATAATGCAGTCTCATAAGAAATTTTATTTTAAAGTAACACTGAAATCTAGTGACTTCCCAATGGAGCAGTGTCCGCATTTAGTTGGTGTCAGTGGTGGGAGTCTCTTCCCTCCCAGCCCCCACTGACTCTCTGGAGGGAGGAGATAGTGCTGTGGGGTGACAGGCAGTAGCCACCCCCGTGGCCACAGAGGCTGGGGTGTTTGAGGCTGGACCACCCACATGTCAGGAGAAAGGTGATGGGCATGGCTGAACAGAAATTTGAAAAGGGAAGAGAGTGGTTCCCAATATTGGCTGAACCGTGTGAAATTGTCAATTTTAAATAATTTTTGACCTTCCCAAAAAAGACAGTTTCATGTAGTTTGACCTAATATATTTTCTCGGTGCTGGGATGGGGCCTTTGGGAGTCCTGTTGTGCCCAGGGAGTGGAGTACCTGAGAGCAGCCAAGCCAAGGACAAGTAGTCTCAGACATCTTCTGACCACTGGGCTAATCATTTGCCATTTGATCATTCTCATTGTTTTCTGGGACCAGCCACCAGGAGGCAGCCAGCAGTAGGTGCCCAGAGTTCTAGTAAAATTTATAGGAGAAAGAATTGAGGAGTATGGTTAATTCAACTGAGATAAATAAGTAGATTTAAAGAATAGAGTGAAGGTACTGGGAGTTGTGATCTTTTATTAACACTGTGGGGTTCCTCAGGGGCACAGTTTGAGGGTTACTGCCATCACCCATTACATGCTTTTTTTACTCTTTCAGGTTTCCCATTTTTTGAGTGTGGGGGCTTAGTAGGTTGGAGAAACCCTAATTTATGAGTAACAATATCCAGAAATTACTGCATGGCGATGATGAATTATATTTCTCTTTATTTATGTGTATATATATAATTTTATTTTTATTTTTTAAAGATTTATTTATTTATTTTATACAAGAACTGGGGTACAGGCCAGATGCACGGGCAGGTGAGAGGATTCACCAGAGACAGAACAGGGAGCAGAACAGGCAGACTGACGAAATACACTGCTGAGGGGAGCAGCGGGTGTGACGGGAGAGGTCTGCTGCGCCATGTGGTACCCTTGCCGGCCGGGATCGAACCAGCGCTGCCGAGGCTGCAGACAGCTTCATAGCGCGTCGCTCAACCGCCTGCATCACCAGGGGAGGCCCTGTACTTCTCTTTATACTTAGGTTGTAGACAGGGCTCAGCTAGCCCCCAATACTGTCGCAGGCCACAGGGGAGTCTCCCAGGGGAGGCGCCAGGGCTTAAGGTCTGTGACCCCAGTTCTTTGGAGTTTGATACCTTTGAGCTAGAAAACCCCACCATATACTGAGAGAAGTGTCTCACCTAGTAACTTGTTGTTTATTTTTAAACTTCATTTCATTATTTAAGGATTACAAGTCAATAAATAGAACTTGAGAAAGATAGAAAAAATAAGAATGGAGGGAAAATAACTTCCTTTACTCACAGTCCCATCACCCTAACCCAAGCCCTCTTAATTTTCCACATGTATTGCCAATACTTTTTATAAACCTTCCAACAAGGATTTGATAGCCTGTAATTTAATCATTCAGTTCTCTAATATGTTATAATTGAATGCCTATAATTTAATGTGGTGGTAGCCAAGACATTAGGTTGTAAGCTATGTTTTGCTGCTCAGAGTAGCATTGCTTTGAATCTCTCTCCTACAGAAATACTTTCTGGGGTGAGATATTTCCCTTGGAATATAGTCCCCAAAGTGCAATTACCGGGTCAACAGGTCCAAATTTCATGAGCCTCCTGGTCCCGGTAGCACTGCCAGTCTTCCACCCCGGGCTGTAGATGGCATCACTGATCAAGCCTCCCCTCACATGGCACTGTCTGGCCCACAGGGCCCTGGTGCACACTCCGTCTGTGACGACGTCAGACCTCTCCACGCACTCCACCACCTCACTCATCAGCAACGAGGAGCAGTTTGAGGACTACGGGGAGGGGGATGATGTGGACTGTGCCCCCAGCAGCCCCTGCCCCGATGATGAGACCAGGACCAACGTCTACTCGGACTTGGGGTCTTCAGTGTCTTCCAGGTGACTGCTTGGTCTGGAATGGTATTTAGGGGCCATGAAAAATGGCAGAACCAACCCAATCTCATCCCATGGGAGTTGGGGGGCCAAGGTCCTGAGCTACATGAGTTCTACATCTGGGGCTTAGGGGTGCTCCCTTTGCACTCTGGGGATCTGGAATTGCCCCTCTTTGCATCTTGGGAAGAAAACAATCAACCAAGGAGACTGCAGACTTAGGTCTTTGTTATCCTGCTTCCTAGAACTCAGTGTTCAAGTAGGACCCAGGACCCAGTAGGTCCTTTCAAGCGACCTACTGTGACACCTTCCCACACACCTGAGTCATGAGTTACTCTGACATTAGCTCTCAGCTGCCTTGTCTCTGAAATGGGTACAACCCATTGGCTTCTCTTTGAGAGTGCTGGAGGAGGCCAGATCTGCCAGTGTATTTTCATTCCCTCCCCTTGCATCTTTGGGCTGCACGCATCTCCTGGGACCAGGGGATCCAGCACAGGAAGCGGAGCAGGATGGGGTTGGGCACCAGATTGGGTGGCAGTGAAGAAAGTGGTTTCCTGTTCTCTCATGAACCAGCGCGGGGCAGACACCGAGGAAAATGCGGCACGTGTACAACAGCGAACTGCTGGATGTTTACTGCTCTCAATGCTGCAAGAAAATCAACCTGCTGAATGACTTGGAAGCCCGACTAAAAAACCTGAAAGCCAACAGGTGAGGCCCCAGGACCCAGCAGAGTGGGGGAGGCCCAGCTGGATTTAGGGAGAAGCAGGCAGCAAGGCAGCCCTTGGTAGGTGAGAGCACGCTGAGTGGGCTTTTTTACGCACAGGAGAGCTGGGGTGCTGTTTCGCAGAACCAAGTTGATTAGTGAAGTCTCATCAGTGGGAGGGAAAGAACCCATCCCACTCTTTGGTTTTTGCAGTAGGTGTAAGGAGTAAATGCAGAGTGAGGAGCAAACTAGAGCACCCTGTTCAGTGACCATTTCTTTTCTCTCCCTCTCTCTCCAGCCCCAACCGAAAGATCTCTAGCACGGCCTTTGGACGGTAAGCCCCCCTTGTGGAGACGGGTTGAATGCTGTTCCCCTAGTTGTGCTCCTGCTGCTAAGTCAGTGACTGGGTCCATGCCCAGACCCAGGGCAGTACCAGCAGGTCAGCCAGAGAAGACGCACTTCGAAGAAGTGCCTCTTCCCTGCTTCCTTGTCCCTTTGGCAGCAGTTGGCATCTCCAAACCCTCAGCCCCTGCAACCTCAGGCTGGCACAGTGGCGAAGCCCCAATAGACACAGCCTAGCCCACAGCTGTCAGTGTCCTTCCTCATGCCCTAGAGCTGGCAGTATACTCAGAGACCCTAGACTTCCTTGCAGGCAGAGATGGGGGTGTGAGTGGGAGCCCATTAGAGCTGACCTCTGTGCTCAATAAAATCCTTCATAGCTGACATCCCCAACTGCCAGGACCCCATTGGTTCTCCGGCAGACTGGCCCCAGTTCCACACCCAGGGCTCCAGGAGCTTCTGACAAGCTGGGGTAGGACAGTCTCTGGCCAAGACCCTGCTCCTGTCTCAGGAGTGGAGTGGCAGCTGAGTCAGCCCATTTCCAATTCCCCCCAGCAACCCGCTGCCCTACACAGTCTGGATAGGTCTCCCCACTTTGCCCTCCCCAGAGATATGGCAGAGCCAAGTTGGTGGAGGGAAATGGATCCTGTTCTCAGCCTTGTGAGGCTTGGCCCCTCTGCTGGGATTGTGGAGCCAGGCCACCTTCAATGGGGGGGTTTCCTACCTCACTGGTCACTGGTAGCCACTGTCTGGAATGCTGAGGTAGAAAGGATTCTGAGGCAGCAGGAAAGAGCTGTGGTGGATTGGCCATGTCTGCCAGGGGCCAGGAGGGGCAGGGTGGCCCATCTCCTGTCCTCTGAATTGCATGACCTCTTGAGTTCAGAGGTCAGGCAACTCTTCAGAGGTCAGGAACAGCACTCTTTCGAAGGGGGTTCCTGGCACCTCTTTGAAGTAATGGTTGCTCGTCCAACCAAATGAACTCCACCCCTGCAGGCAGCTCATGCACAGCAGCAACTTCAGCAGCAGTAATGGCAGCACTGAGGACCTATTCCGAGATAGCATCGACTCCTGTGACAATGACATCACGGAAAAGGTGAGCTCTGGGCGAGTAGCGGAGGGACTTGATGTGTGCATGCTCCATGGGGGGGGGAGGAATGCCCCAGGCTACTGTCTGGGGATTTGGGAGGCCCTGTTCCTGAACAGGAGTTTTGGGGGTAGGTGGCCCCATCATTTGTGAGCCCATTCCCACCCAACATGACTGTTCTCTTTATTCACGGTCAGTTGGAAGTCATCGGCCCCACAGTTTCTAAGTTCTCAGTCCTATACACTCAAAAGTTTTCTCTCCCCATGCCTCAACCCTGCATTGTAGGTCAGCTTCCTGGAAAAAAAGGTGACAGAGCTGGAGAATGACAGCCTCACCAACGGGGACCTGAAGAGCAAGCTAAAGCAGGAGAACACACAGCTGGTACACAGGTCAGGGGCTGGGCACGGGCTCTGGGGCCCTCGGCTGTGACTAGGAAACTGAACATCTTTGACACATCCCCTGGCTTCAGGGCTCTGCTGATGTAAGGTGCCCAGGAGGACAGGTCTTTGGGGGCAGGAGATGAGCTGGAGCTTGACCTTGACCCCCGGGTCTATAGCTCCTAGGTGGTTCTAAGGCAAGAGTTGGGATCCACTCTTCTGTCTCCTTGTCCTGTAAAGATAAGACCCTCACCTCTTTTTCTGGGGACAACTCTGCAGAGGGAGAGGCTGGTGAGTCAGTGGGAAGCATCCAGACATTGCTCTGCTGTCCCCATGGAGGCCCACTGAGCTTGACTATGATGAGGGTTGTATAGGGTTTAGCTGTCCTTGCAGGATATACTGAAATTTGAAGATTGATTGTGACCCAGGGTCTGATCCTCAACCTGGTAGAGTCCAAAGATTGGGCCCTTTTGTACACCCTAGCAGGTCAGCCTCCTAGAGGGACTGTTGCCAGTGAAATGTGCCCCAGATTGACACACCAACTAGGCCACCAGTAGGAGGTGAGACATCCATCGTGGGGCTTGGCCTTTTCTCTAGTCTCGCATGCTCAGGGCCACTAGCCAGGACATGACCACTTTTGGAGTCAGGTGCCCAGTGAGCCGAATTACTGACCCAGAGGGATATTGGCCAGGAAGGAATAGAGCAGAAAAAGGAGGTGAGATCTGAGGGCTGTTTCATCCAGAATGGCAAAGCCTGCCCTGAGACATCTGCCTGTTGGGCACAGCCCTGCAGCTTGGGAACCCCTGGCTGGATCTGCCCTCCCCAGCCCGTGTGACCAACACCCCCTCCTTAGATGCTGTAGTGTTGCTAATCTGTCTGTCAGCATTGCTGCTGACCCACAGGCCTGGCAAACACCACTATGTCCCACTTCAGGGAGTTCATAACTCTCCATGGCTGCAGCCTGGGTTGGGGTGAGAAGGCCACGAGAGCTGGCCCTGGACTGGAATCTGTGCCCCTCTCCTCAGGGTGCACGAGCTGGAGGAGATGGTGAAGGATCAGGAGACCACTGCTGAGCAGGCCCTGGAGGAGGAGGCCCGGAGGCACCGCGAGGCCTACAGCAAGCTGGAGAGGGAGAAGAACACTGAGATTGAGTTGCTCAACACCAGGTGCACAGGCGCCGGGGCCTTTCCACACAGACCCCTGCCCTTGCTCGCCCCTCACTCCTGGTACAACCTGTGGGGCAGGGCTGTCCCCATTTATAGAGGGAGAGCCTCCTGTCCTGACTGCTATACTCCTAACACCCAAACACAGGGACACATTTTCCAGGAAGTCTGTAAAATATTCGTAGCCGCATTGTTTGTGTTAGGTAGACGTGGAAACAGCACTCTTATCAATAAGAAACAGAACTGGTCCTGCCCAAAGTCCTGGGCTGGATGTAATGTTCAGGCTTGGAGCGCCCCCTGCTGTCAGACCCTCCCCTGACCCAGGGGCCAAGGTAAATGGAAAAGCAGGGCAGGGCTCCTGCTGGGTCCAGGCCAGGGAATAGCCGTTAGGACCTGGAGCAGTATTAACTAGGGGTATTAACTAGGGGTTCATTTTAACTTTTCCCTCATATTCTAGAAGCTGCTGTTTTGCATGTATTTGTGGAAGCTGGTAGCTCATAAAGCATTGTTGCTCGGCTTCTGACAGCTAGCCAGGTGAGCTAGCCTGAAAGAGGTGACTGGCACATGGGTGCTGAAGAAGGCAGCCTGAGAGTGGGCCAGAGACCCTATCCCTTGCACACTCCTGGGGGCACCCTTTACGTATCATTTGCAGCCAGTGCACCAGAGCCATGCAGTGTGCATGCATCATTCCTCACCCTCTCCACTATCCCAAATATCCTGTGAAGTGACTTGTCAGAGCTGTGGCCTGGCCTGGAGGCCTCTCCTGGGGGCAGTGGAGCCAGGCAGCCATCTGTCCGGGAAGGAGGAAGAGCCAGTGGGAAGGACGGGGAGTGCCCTGTAGGAAATGGTCAGAAATCACCCTGTGCTGTTCTGGTGCCGCAGACAGTTCTGACCTGGGTGTCCTGGCTCTGTCTTGTCATGGTGTTAACTTAGGACAGTCCCCTCTGGACACTACATAGAAGATTATGACCCCACCAGTGCTGTAGAGACAGCAGCAGTGAGCACTTCACAGAGCCTTGGGGGAGAGTAGAAAACCAACAAGGTCTTGTCTTCAAATTGTGGATTCTAATAGGAGGGCTTTGCCACCAACAGCCACAGGAGGGCTCTCCATTAGCAAAAATACATCCTCCCTGCATTGCCTAGTCTCTAAGGATGTATGCTAAAAAAAAAAAAAGCTCATGTTCTTATTTACAAATGTTTCCTTTTATCAAAAAAAAAAAGATAATTCAGTGTCATTACCTTTTTGCTTTGGATGACAGGACAATATTATCATTTGAACTAATCATTCATGCATGTTCTCTCTCCCCTACCTCTGTCCCTCCTCCTCCACCTTCTTCCACAGGGTGCAGCAATTAGAGGAAGAAAATACTGACCTTCAAACAACAGTGACCCGTCTCAAGTCGCAAGCAGAGAAACTGGATGAGGTGAGCAGTAGATGAGGCATCTCCTGGACTTGGAACTGGAGCTGAACCCCAGAGAGGCAATAGCGGCCACTATAGCCTTTAGTGAAAGAGGTTCTAGTTTCTAGGTTCTAGTTTCTGAGATTCTAATAACATTGCTCTAGTTAAAAAATATATATATGAATAATTTGTCTTTCTATATTTCTAATTTTCCAAATTTTCTGCAATGAATACGTATAGTGTGGGAAAATGAAAAAGGAATGAAGTTAGCTTCTGCTTGGACAGCCTTCCACTGGCATTGTTGACAGACTTGAGAGAGGCATGAGGCTTTTTAGCTGTGTTTCTAGAATCCTCGGGGATCTGTTTCCTTAAACCATGACTTAGAGGGCTATGCCCAGGTGGCCCATTCTGATGACCTGTTTGTCAAGGCACAGACCCCCAGCGAAGTCCCCCAGGGCATTGAGTCCCTTTGGGGACCTGTCCCTCACCTAGTCTCCCTGGCTCCAGGAGCGGCAGCGCATGTCTGACCGACTGGAGGACACCAGCCTGCGGCTCAAGGACGAGATGGACCTGTACAAGCGCATGATGGACAAGCTGCGGCAGAACCGCCTCGAGTTCCAAAAGGAGCGGGAAGCGACGCAGGAGGTGGGTCCCAGGCCGGGGGGTGCCTGGGTTTCCTCCTGTGGCCCTGTTCCCACCAACCAGCCTCTCTCCCATGCAGCTCATCGAGGACTTGCGGAAGGAGCTGGAGCACCTGCAGATGTACAAGCTGGACTGCGAGCGGCCTGGCAGGGGCCGAGGCTCATCCTCCGGCCTGGGCGAGTTTAATGCCAGGGCCCGAGAGGTGGAGCTGGAGCATGAGATCAAGCGGCTTAAACAGGTGGGCCCGGGGGCCTCTGTCCCCACGGGGTGGGTTTCCTGTGAGGCGCCGAGAGGTGTGAAATCACCTACCCGCATGTTGCTGGGCCCTGCTCACAGCCCAGATCGCTTACCTCTGTTTCTGCTGGAGAGCTCAGGGTCTCTCCTGGATGTCCAAAAAAGAAATAAACACACTCTCCTGCCGTTGGTTGACAGGGTGGAAAATGAGACTGCACTCAGCCACAAATTAACGCCTCACTGTGTTAGGGTCTTTGAGAAGCAGCCCCTGAGCTCAAATCCATTTCAAAGGATTCTGGGAACATTCCATAATTGGAGACCAGTCGGGGCAGGGGAAGAGGGGCCAGGAGGGACAGTGACCAAGCGAGAGAGTGGTGGTGGGTGACATCCCGTGTTCAGCCTGAGCCCGGGACAGGCAGCTGCAATAACTGGTATAGCTCTGAGCTGGTCCCAGTGGGGGCAGATGTGCTGTGCTGGTGTCCCACAGGAGCCCTAAAGCTCCAGCCCTTCTCGCCATCCAGGTGGGAGCTTCTGTGGTCCCGGGTCCAAGCAGTTAGGAGCCTGTAGCCAAACGTGGAGCACGGGACTTGGGAAGGGGGTCTGAGTAGGGGCTATGGGGCCTGCTGTCCTTGGGAGCAAGCATGTCCCTGGAAAGAACTAGAACAGCAGCCTGGTGAGCTTTGCCTCAGGAGGAGCCAAAATGCCAGCCCAGAGAACCCCAGACCATCAGTTTTACTCACCAAGGGCCAGAGTTGGAAAAGGAGCCATGAGTGGGGCAGCAGCGTCCTCACACTGGTGTCTCCTCATCTGGCTCACTCACCCTCAAGGAGGAACCATGCTCCTCACTTGACGTTGGCTTCCCTGAGCAGGGCTGAACCTCCTCACAGCCCTCCGAATTCCTCCTCCCCCAAGCCTGGCAAAAGCCACACCATCTATGGGTCTCCTGAGTTGGCTATGACTCACGTCTCAAGGGCTGATGCTGCCCTGATGCTGTGGGAGTCACAATGCCAGAAGTGGGTTCTGGTAGGTTCTAGATACTTCTGGGAGTTGATGTTGCCTTGTCCTATTCCACAGGAGAATCATAAGCTACGGGATCAGAATGATGACTTGAATGGACAGATCTTGAGCCTCAGCCTCTATGAAGCAAAGAACCTCTTTGCCACCCAGACCAAAGCCCAGTCGCTGGCTGCGGAAATAGACACAGCCTCTCGCGATGAGGTAATGTTCCCAACTCCCTTTGGGACCTGGCTGCTCCATTGTGAGTCCTGCCCCTATCCCTACCTGCCATGACAGTGAGCCCAGGCTGCCCTCGGCATGAAAAACAGACCAAGCCCTGGCCCGCAAAAGGTTCTGCATCTGCCCCAAGTGACAGGACAGAGCTGTGAGGCAAAGTAAAACCAGGTCTGATATCATGCATGAGGTGGCGGGAGCACAAGTGTAGGGGCAGAAAGGAGTTTATTTAGGTCTTAGCTCTGCCACAAACATGCCCAAATAACCTGCTGATTTCATCTACCTACATGCTCCGCTTGGCAGTCTTGATTACAAATGCTTTTGGCCAGTATCCTCAACTTTTACCTAAAAATGACCCACAGGGCCTCCCCTGGTGGCGCAGCGGGTCGAGCGCTGCGCTATGAAGCTGTCCGCAGCCTCTTCAGCGTGGCTTTGATCCCAGCCAGCCGGCAAGAATCCCACATGGTGCGGCTGACCTCTTGTCTCGCCCGCTGCTCCCCTCAGCAGTATATTTCAGTCAATCCACCCGTTCTGTTCCCCGTTCTATCTCTGGTGAATCCTCTCACCCTCCCACGCATCTGGCCTGTACCCCAGTTCTTGTATGCATGAATAAAAAAAATCTTTAAAAAAAAATGACCCACATCTGTGCACCTCCACAGACCAATCAACTAGAATCACTGAGTGAGGGGCTGGGTATCGGCATGTTGAATACTTCTTGGATGTAAGCTGAGCTGATGCCTTAGACTCTTGCGTTGGCATCCTTTTGCTGTGGTTGATTTGGGAACCCACCTTGCTCAGGTCCTGCTGAGGCCCTTGGCCACGGGGCACTGCCATCCAGGTATCTGGGCTCTGCCCACACCCCAGCCAAGGGTGACCTCTGACCAAACTTCCTCCCATTCTCTTCAGCTCATGGAAGCCCTGAAGGAGCAGGAGGAGATCAACTTCAGGCTAAGGCAGTACATGGACAAGATCATCCTCGCCATCCTGGATCACAACCCCTCCATCCTGGAGATCAAACACTGAGACCAGGGGATTGCTGCAGAGAGGCCTCGGGACCCAGGACCAAGGAGCAGTCCCTGCCTGAGGAGGGGCCCTGGTCTGGGCCTCACTCCACATTGTCAGTGTACCTGGCCACCATGTAGCGTGTACTGGTGTGTGTGTGGGAGGCCGTGCACACAGCAAGGGGTGAGCATGGGCCAAGACTGTGGGTGATGTCTGTGCAGTTAGCTGTTCGTGTGCTTGGTGGTCCCTTTGCAGAGGGTCCAGAGGTGGGAGGGGGTGAGGTCTGCTATCAGGAATTACTGTAATAACAAGAACTGGAAGCTTATGTTTCAGATACTGGATAAAATGATTCTACCTCTGGGGATAAGGATTAAAAATACTCTGAGTAATGGCTTTCACCCACCCCTATTCTCCCTGGGAGTGGGAGCAAAATTAGGGTCTATTCCAGGAGTCCTGGTGCCCAATAGCCGTGTCCTTATCAGCCTTTTTGACCACCTTTCAAGCCCAGGTGCTCCAGCTCAGAGGAGGAAGGGGCTTCTGCGCCCCCTTGCTGGTGCTCTCTGAGAGGCGTGTGCGCAGGTGTTTCAAGGAGCAGACTCACAGAGGAGCCAGCCTGGGGGTGACCTACATTCTGAGAGTTCTTGGCATTTTTGAAGTTCTCCATATACTTCCACATCTCTGCTGACTTACCTTCCCTTTCTGTTATGTTTTTAAGATGATAAAAAATAAGCAGCAGTTACTTGGGTGTTAAATGCAGGGATGAAAGGGAAGGAGAAAGGGGCTGGGGATAGGGGTGTCTAAGGCACATATTGGCATCTCCCAACCAAAGACATGACTTTCCAGGTGGAGCCCACTCACCTCCCCTAGCCCCTGCCCCATGGTTGCCTTTTAAGAGAAAATCAGGAAGAGACTGTCTGGGTGGCTTCCTCAGGCTGTGAGTGGGCCTTGCTCTCCAGTTTTCTGCAAAGCCTGGTCACAACAGGCCGGGAGGTTCGGCTTTCGGAATCAGAGCTCTGGGCTTGGCTCAGGAGAGCAGCTAGGCCTGTGCTCCAGCTTTTAGAAACGGCCCTGCCAGGGAGCGCTGTGAATGCCTTGCTGCTGGGACACAGTTGGGGAAACTGCTGGGAAACCTTAGTCTTCCATCCTTGTGGCACGTGGTGGGAGCCACACTATGGATTCTTAGTGGGTTCTCTTAGTCCAGGTGACTGGGAGTAGGTATGGTACTTTCTTTGAGTTTTCCAGTTTGTCTAAAATTTTGTATGACTTGTGATCATTTCCTTAATCCATATATTTTTATATAATCCATATGTATGGGTTATAGATAGATAGAAACATTAAGGTCTTATTTCCTCCCCCCCCCCCCCATAGTTCCTTGTTTTCTTCAGTACTGAAATGTGTGGAGAGTTTGGGCATGTTAGGGAGGGGCATGGCAGCTGAGGGGTGTCCACGGAGAAGAGAGGGGAGCAGAGGGTGAGGAGGTGCCTGGGTGCTTGGGTGTGTTCCCTGCTCGAAAGGACAGGGCTATGGCCAGGACTGGTCTTCATCTACCCAGTCAGCCTTTTGCTTTTTTGGATTTTGCGAGTTCTTTTTAAGCCTGCGTATGGCATTTGTCTCATGCTGCAAATAATGGGGTTGCACTGGTCTGACCCATGATTGGAGCCACCCACACCAGGAAGACTGGGCCAGGAGTCAGTCTTTTGGAGCCTCTTGTAACCTCCTAGAACACTGGAGTCCCTTGAGGGTCTGAGAAGAAGAGACAGTGGGAATAAGGTGTGAGGAGCAGTTCTCTTGTGAATTTGCTAACAGGAAGGAATGGCCATGAATGAAAGGAGAGGAAAAAAGGAGAAAGCATGACTTGGCTTTGCTCTGGGTTGCACATCGGTAGGGGTCCTGCTGAGAGAGGCCAGTCAGGCCAGGGTCCTGTTCCTTAGGCGGCTCATTCCAGGTGGAGCACCTTACATGCACTTTATAAAATTTCACCTTCCCTTTAGCTACAGTGGTGTGGAATTTTAGAGAAGCCCACGGGTGCAGGAGTTACAGATTCACAAGGAAATTTCTGCCATAGGGCCGGGAGGTGGTAAAAGCCATAAACCTGCAATGCCACCTCCCTCCTGTAGGGGGTGCGGCGGGAACAGATCCCTGGGATCAGCAGGGAGTCTGAGAAGCCCTTCTCCTCTGGACCTGGAACAGTGCATTGGGTCTTTGTAATGAGGCTGAATTCCTCATAATACACCCCTCAAACCCAACCTTCTTACTTCAGCCAGAATACATGTATCTTTTTAAAATGCTCTCCTGTGCTTGAAATCTGGGGGGAGGGGTGCTGCAGATGCTCTAGGGGTGCTAATCCTATGGCGGCTGGGCAGGTTCCAGAGCTGTACCTACTCTGGGTACAGGGGGGGCAACCTATTGCTCTGTTTTCTGTCTCCTTCCTTCCCTTTTGGTTGGGACTTCTCTCCCAGTGGGGCTTCTAGAAGGCTTGCAGGAGGCCCTGTTAAATTTGAATTTGAATTTCAGGTAAACAAATTTTAGTGTACGTGCGTTCTGTGCAGTACTCGGGACATATCTTAAAATGGGGAGATTTTTAAAATTCTGACCAGGCTGACCGCCAGAGGTGCAGATGCCATGGTTTGGGATGGAATGTGGCCCCAGGCATAGGGATGTCGTAAGACTTCCCCAGGTGATTGTGTTCTGTTGGGAGGAGAGGGGGCTTTTTTTTTTTTTTTTTTTTTTTTTTTTTGCTAATCTTAGCAACTCCACCAAGTAGGGATTAGCAGAAACTGGTCTGAAGTTTAGAGGAACTTTTCAGGGGGCAGGCATGGGGAGGCAGCAGACTCACATTTTACATGGCCCAGCCTTGCATGGTGTCAGACGCCAGCAAAACTTGTTGGATTTTATTTATTTTATTTACATATCTAGTAGAAAAGGAAGCACCTACTGGATCCGACAGGCCCTATTCTGTGGCAAGTTAAAAGAAATAAAGTTCTAGAAAAAAGAGATTTTTTCAGTCTTGTGTTGGTCAGAGTTAGACCTAAGTTGTTTTATTTTAAAATTGTAGATTGAGAATTTTCAGGGGAAAATTCCTTTATCTTGACTTCATTTCTGATCTATTGAAAATACAAAGCTCGAGAACCTCCCAAAGCGCGTGGAATTGGAACCGTGGTTCTCGACTTGGGCTACACATTGGACTCACCTGGAGAGACTGAGCCTCGGCTGCTGATTTGCTGAACCGCCGGAGGCTCAAATTTGCCTAGTGTGGGGGTGACCCAGGTATCTAGAGGTTTAAAGAGCTCCCAGGTGATGCTAATACACAGTCCAAGTCTGAGCCCCCTGTCCTAGAACGTTGCTGGCTAGAGGTAAGGAAACTGGGTGTGATAGAAATGACCATTCTGCTGGGATGTCGGTGGCTTTTCCTGTTTTGATGTCAGATGGTGAGAAGTTAGCAGATCCCTCGCCCCCCAGGACAGGAGGCCAGAAACCCTCAGGAGCTGGTGGATCCGGCTGTATACCAGCTTGGGGCACAGCAAACCCAGGTGGGCAGGTCTCTGCCCGGTGACGTGGAGCCAGTGGTCATCCGTGCTAGGATGAGTCATCCATGAGCCTCTCCCAGAGTGGGGGGTGAACAGACTCAGGGCTGCGGGCTGATGAGCTGGGCTGTTCCTCAGAAAGCAGCCTCAGGAACACTAGCCACCTACTTGGCACAGCTCAGCAGGAGGGACCCTGGCTTTGTGGGTTTGTCTCTGATCGCTTGCAGGCTGGGAGGGTGAGGGTTGCCCCATGTCCTCCAGGACCCAGGCCCACACCAGGAGGCTCTGCCGGCAAGTCTGATTCCTGGCCCAGCCAGGTCCTGGTGGCCAGGTGGGTACAGTGCAGGTTCTTTTGTTCTAATGAGGGACTTCACCACCACCAAAGGCCTACCCGGGTCACTGGGGCCTGTGGACTGGGGAGAAATGAAGCCCTCTTTGGTGTTCTGTGCATGTGAACTTAATACATTAGTAAATTCAAAGCCTGATGGCCACAGGGGAAGTTCGGGAGTGATTAGTGTGCCAATAAAATGACGGGGCGGATAGGCCTACAGTGACTTAAGGGTTGCGGTGGGTTTTAGATTGAGGAGCATAGCCATTTAGGAGGTCAGTGCTGGCATCCTCCAGTCTTCCTCCTTTGGGACTAGAGCAGCCCCTCTGAATCATGCTTCGGGGTGCTGAGTCTGTTGAGGAGCCTCAAGCTAGAGGGACCATGGCCTCCCCGAGTGTCATGAAGCTGAGCAAGCCCCTTCCCTTCACGTCTTAGGAACCTCCGGGTCCTGACATCCTGCTTTAAGTGCTTGCAGTTGGTGCTCCGAGCGCCCAGGTTCCTTCTCTCCCATTGTGACTGTAAAGTAGGGACGTCTGCCCTGGAGCCACGGGGTGGGGGTGCTGGGAATGGCATCCCAGGCTCCCCCTCCCCCCCAGCAGGAGCTGAGTGCTGTTGTCCCTGGGGGACAGTGCCTCCTGCCGGGACCCTCCGCTTTGCTGTGCTGCGCAGGCTGTGTTTTTGTCTGCATGGTTTGGGGTCTTTGTCCTTGTGCCTTTTTCTTCTTCCCTGTCACCACTGTACAGGACTTTCCACTGACCACTGCCCCCTTTTCTACGTCCCCTGGTTTACCCTGACCCTTCCCGAGCCTGTATATGTGTACATAGTGCCCCGCTGCGTGTCCACGTGCCTCACCAGGCCAGGTCTGCTCCAGGCGGGGCTCCGGGCGCGCTCCCCCACAGGGTCAGACTCCGCTTCCCCTTCGCTCACTCAGCCGAGCAGACTTGGTCACTTGGTTCTGAACTCTTCGTTATGGTCCTAAGTCTGGGCGGCTGGGACCCACCTCGTCCGTTGTCCGGCCTGCAGCTCGTTTAGAAGCCTTGCACACCAGAAAAGGGTGACTTTGTTCAAGCAACTTCTCCCGCCACCTCTTCCTGTCAATATTAGTTGAAAGCAGAGCGCACCTTTCACGCCTGGGGCATTGGTCCAGCAGGGACATGGGTCTGCAGCAGCTCAGCAGCCCCTCGGAGGACGCACCCCTCGCCTCCAGAAGAAGCTCTGACTATGCAGCGCCTAGTGCTCGGCGCAGGGCCTGGCTTCAGGCCTCCTGGCACCTCGTGACAAGAACAGACCCCAAGCGGGCAGAAGTGCCATCCCGCCTGCCCTTAAACAACTGCCGAAGGTGCTCAGACCCGGGTGCCATTAAATACCCCACCGATGTCAGGACACCGTTGGACCACGCATTCCCGAGGACTTGCTCTCAGCCCACTGGCTCCCTTCTTCCCAGTTCTTCCCACGCTTTGGCTGGGCCTCCTGGCCCAGGTGGAATAAGCTATGCGTGTGGCCTTGTGCCCAAGGGTTGATATGACAGCTTCGACTCTCCGTGGGATTCCACTTGAGTGTTTTTGCCCTTGGAGCCTCCATCTGGAAGCAGACTGTTTCGGGGCTGGGGTGAGGCCTCCACCTCCAGGCCTCAGGGTGCGAGAGTATGGGGTGAAGCTCCAAGGCTGCATCCCGGGGTCCCAAGGTCTTCACCTCCAGCCTGCTTCCAGCCAAAAGGAGCAGGATCTCAGAGGCAGGCACCTTCCAGGGAACTCTAATGTACAGAACCAAGGTGTAAATAAACAGTTTGCTTTTCTTGCCTGACTTGATGGTGAGTTTCTATGGTGGGGGGAGGATGGACATGTGTGAATGGCTCCAGGGCTCCTGGGGACAGTCTCCCTTAGGCAGAACAGGCCTTACCCAGTGGACCTTCTAGGCCAATAAAAACTTGCAAAATCCAAATCTAGATTTTGGGGGGCAAGACTCAACTTTCCTAAAAGATTCCTTATTATAAATAAGTCACACTGCAGACCTTGCTGTAACCTGCTGTCCCTCGGAGAGGAGATATGCCACCATCCCAGCCTCAGGTCTGTGATGTCTGAAAATCTTGTCCTCATGCAACTGGGTTCTCTTTCCCAGCAAGGGTGTCTCAGGGATCCCAGCTTGCTCCGGTCACTCTAATGGGGTCCCAGTGCCATGTGCTGCAGGTAGCCACCACGACTCCTGGGTCACAGGCCCAAGTCTGCCATGGGCATCTGGTTCCAGACTGATCCACCAGTGCTGGCTCTGCCAAGCCCCTAGGGTAATGAGGTGGCTTCAGACCCCTGGTTTCTTGTCCTCTCCTTGTCTGCCCCTTCCTCTTAATAGTATGGGGTTCCTGGGCTTTGCAGGTCACCCAGGCCCAGCACCGAAAAATGAGTCTGCCCTTCCCTTTCGGCCCAGACCCTCAGAACAGCAGGACCAGTCCCTCTCCCCTCCCCGCACCGGCCCCTGTAGCACGGGACTGCTGCTCACTGGATTTACAGCCTCCTGGGCTCATGGGGAAGTGGTCTTCCAACACTTCCTGAGCTCCCGGACCTTTATTCCTTCCATCTTCCTAACAGCTTCTTTACTTCCCAGGTCATCAGATTCTGTGAATATAAAAACACGGGATTCCCAGTTAATACTGAATTTCAGATAAAATTTTCAGTTTAAGTTTGTCCCATGTAATACTATAAAGGTTATTCATTGCCTATTAGAATTGCAAACATAACTGGGCATGCTGCATTTCCCACGCCTCTCCAGGGCCCCTCTACCAGTGAAGTGTCTCTGCATACTGACCCTTTACTTTGAGCCCCAGATTTCAAACAGATTCCTTCTGAGCTTGCCACTAATTCTGAGGCTGGTTCTGCTTTCCCCACTCCACCGTCCAGAAGCACTGCTGGCCTTTCTAGAAGCTGCACCCTGCCCTGAGGTTGTGTAGGGAGATCTGAGGCTATGAACGAACTCAAAATGACTTGACATGGAGGTGAACTTAAGCAAGTGGAGGGGAAGGCAATGGTGTCCTGGGGACACTGTGGGGACAGGGTGTTGCTAAAGAACCCTGGCATTAAATTTGCAATTTGCTAGAGTTTCACAATAACTAGGCCATTAAGCCTTTTCAAAGCATCAAATGACTGTGTTCATGGGAAGATTCCTGGAACTGAAATAAGAGGCCAGGACTTCTTAGCTGTGGGGCTTTGAGCAAGTTTCTCACCTCCCTGAGTTGCAGTCTGCAAAGCAAGGGAAATAACAGTTCCTTTGTGACAGGAGTACCTGTCAAGGCACCAGGTGGAGCTCCAATAAGAACTTGCAAAATCCAAATCTGGATTTTGGGGGACAAGACTCAACTTTCCCAAAAGATTCCTTATTTTTATAAATATCGCTATTTGCCCTAACTGCAGTTTCTGCCATGGTCTTCAATGGGTACCTTCCCCAGCCCCATGTATCCCTGTGTCCAAATTACATTTTTCTGAGGACACTAGACACTGGGTTAGCACCCACCCTGATCCAGTATGGTTTCACGTCATTTGATTCTGTCTGCCAACACCGTGTTTGCAAAGAAGGCTGCATTGATAGGTACTGGGGCTTACGACTTCAACTTCTCTTTGAGAGGTACACAATTCTCAGTTTATTCTAGAGAAGAACAGCGCTGCTGTGGGTATCCATGTGCCCTCTGCACAGAGACATCCCACCCCACCCCCCACCCCACCCCCGTCTTGGAGACTCTCCTGCCACCTCCACACCTCTCAGAGTTCGCAGTTGCTGTAAAGGGAGTTTATTGTCAGATCTACCAATTCATGGACACTCAAATTGAGAACTTTCTAGAGTCATCCAGGTCCAGGCCAAAGTCTCCTGAGTCAAAAATATTGGAATGAAATCACTCACCCAAACAATTTAATTTACTGAGCACCAGTGTATGTGCCAGTTCTGCACCAGGCACTGCGGATTGGGACAGAATAGAGCGAGGTCTCTGCACCTGGGGTGGGTGAGACACAGCTGACTCTGGTGATGAGCAGCACCAAGGGGAAGGCCCAGGGGGCTGTGGGAGTTGGGGGCAAGAGCGCCAAGGCCAATAGACAGCTTCCCCAAAGAAGGGGCATTTCAGCAGAGCTGGAAGATTGTAGGAGCTAGGAACTACATGTGAGGGACGCTTGTAGAAAGCACAGCCTTTTTGGGGTACAGTATCTGGGAGATGAGTGGGAAGGGCTGTGGGAAGTTGGGCCTGGTAGGCAGTGCAGAGCCCGCTAGGCTTAACTCACCCATTAAGCAAATGTTGTATCAGTGTCTACTAGATGCCGGTGTTGGCCTGGTGCTGGGCTTGTAACAGTGAGCAAGCAGCCCTGCTCTCCACCTTCACAGCTCAGGGAGCTTCTAGAAGAGTGGGGGCTTCTCAATCCAGGTTACCTATTAGAATCACCTGAGAGGGCTTTAAACCACGTGGAAATAGGTGATTCTGATTTGGGTGGGGTGGGCTACGGGCTGTTTTTCAAAGCTCCCTGACTGATTCGAGTGAGAATCACCGGTGCACAGTCTCACCTATCATCCTCTGAAGAATCGGGAGAATTCAGCTAAGGCCCGAGGGAGATGACCAGGTGGGGAAGATTGGGCAGGATGTGGCAGAGGGAAGGGCCATGTAAAGGCCTTAACAAGAGACTCTCAGGGCAGGGAGCAGGCCGTGGCATCATTGCAGATCAGAGGTCAAGGAGTGACCAGTTGACCAGTCAGTGGGACCAAGTAGTTGCTGAGAGACGAGCACGGTCTGGTGACAGGTAAGACCTGGTTTATTTGCTGACTGAAAAAGAGGAGTTGGAATCACCAGGTTGGGGCAATTGTTTGGGCAAAGGCGTCAGGCTTCGCAGGGCCTTGCCAGGAGCATCTACCCCAGCCAACCCATCTCTAGGAAATGACTGAACTAGGCCTGAGGGCAGATAAAGCCATTCTGCAGCCCCTCAGGAGCAGCAGGCCAGCTGGAGCAGCTGGTTCCAGAGATCCCGGGCAGCAGCAGGGTGCTGGGTGAGAGACCGGGGCGGTGGGGGGGGGGGGGGGGGGTTCCATTCCGTCCTTCCATTTGGCAGTCTGCTCTGATTTTTCAGCTCGGGAAGCTTCAGTGTCTGGAACTAGGGCAGCGGTTGGCCCCAAGGAGAGCAATGAGGAAGTTCACGTTAGCTTCCACTAATTTAATGTCGTAATATGCCAGGTGGTGTTCTAAGTGCTCGGCAGACACAGAGTCATGTAAATCTCGCGACCACCTATGACGAGGGCAGTAGTATTACTCCATAACAGGTGCTTTAACTGGCCACAAGTCACCCAGGATTCACACCCAGCTGCTAAGGGAGGAGTTGGTAGGTAGCAGGACTCGGCTGCAGTCCAGGAAGTGGGCTGCTCAGTGGGGAGGGTCACTGCAGGCTGGGAAGGCTTCAGGAGGCGGCCTGGGCCTGGAATTTGGGTGAGCTCTCCAAGCAGAGGGGCTATAGGGCCGGCATAGCTGGGAGCAAGGACATGGAAGTGGGAGCTGTAGTGCTCTGTGTGCACTGAGGAGGAGCAGGGGCAGTGGCCCAGGAAGGATGGTGGTTCCATGGTGGGTCAGCCTGGCTGGCCAAGCAAGTCCTTAAGGTGGGTTGAAGGGCTGATGATGCTCCAAGCTCACAGTGCTGAGATTAAGGGGTCTAGGATCCAGAAAGTCAAAACCAGCTTCTAGCCAGTCCTTCCTGGAACTAAGTAGGTGGCTGGATTGAGCTGCAGGAAGCTCCACTTACTCTCCTGCCCTTCCTGGTTTGGCCCCAGCTTTCACTCTAAGCTCTGACGTTGATACTAGGTCCAAATTGAGTTCCACGATATTGGTGTAGCCTCTGCATTTGAAACAAACAAACATGATGGTGCTCCTGAAAGACCCAAAGACAAAGGTGTTGTAGTCTGAGCTTACCTTCTGCAGCCCATTCGATGCCTCCTAGCCTGTGAGGCCCTCATCCCCGTGTTCAACCCTCATCCCCGTGTTCAACCCAACCCAGGCCCTTCTTCCCTGACTGGCTTTCCAGCTTATCCAGTCTAGGAGGCCAAAAGCAGGCCTCTCACTGGTCTCTGGCAGCTTCTAGGCCAGATCCTCAGTGCTGTGGCCTGCAGGTGAGGGGGTTGTTCTGAATATGGAGTCAGGAGACTGGAAGGGGACAAAATTTCTAACTCCACTAGAGAGCCCTCAAGATGGTTCCGTTTTTTGAGGTGGAGTCAAAGAAGACCCAGCTGATACCTCTGCATCCACCTCCCCGGCCCTAGGGTAAGCACTAATTAGCATCTACTCTCCAAGTTGTGGGCACGAAGAACAGCTGTGATAGTCTCTAAAGATAGGCACCACTTATTAATTCCCTCCCTGGGTGCAAGCCACTCCCCTACCTGAGGTGTTTATTTCCCCTCCCCTTGAATTTGGGCTGGCTGTGACTGCTTGGCTCAGTAGATGTAAAAATGCATCATGACAGAAGCAACATTCTGGAACTTCTGAACTTCTTCCTCTTGAAATGCACCTTCTTGGAGGCCATCTATGAGGAAGTCCAAGCAGCCATGTGAACTCAGGTCCTAAGCCAATAGCCTCAACTAAGCTGCCAGCCAGTGCCAGTCATGTGAGTAAGGCCTTATCAGGTCTTCCAGTCATCCCAACACCCTAGCCAATACCAAACGAAGCAGAACTGTTTCTGGTCAACCCACAAAAGCATTGTTTTAAGCCTCTATGTTGAGCTAGGTGTTTACACAGCATTAGATACTGGAACAGCAGGTCTTCAGCCGTTTTCTGTCAGACTTCCTCTCAGAAGACTGTTTCCC